AAAAAAAAAAAAAAAAAACTAGCTTGCCGAAGCCTCAACCACACGATATCCCCTTTTCCCATTTTAGGTTAAACGTTAAGTTTACCGTCGATATCCCTGATAGCCATTTAAAAATTATCGGTGATTATCGCCTTAATCGACGTCTTACTTATTCCCACGTAGTCAAACCCCGCTTTTCATCATCATCATCAAGACAGAAAAACTTTCTTTTTGTACGACCTACGATTCGGATACGAGGAGGCATTTCATGCACTCGGAACAGTTACAAAAGCGGGCATTACAAATTATTTAAAATAAAAATGGAACCAAATATGGGAAAAATTATTCAATGATGGGGGAAGAGGTGAGCATATGGAAGGAATGAATTATTTGATGAGGCAATGGCTTCACAAAGAAGAGGCAGAACCGCGGCGAGGCCCGCTTGGTTGTCTGAAATGGACCCTCACAGAACGATTGACAATCGGCAATTGACGAAGAAGGAATTGCTCATGAAGATTGGCTTCAATCGCCAACTTCCTGCTGCTTTCATGAGGTAGATTCAATTGGATGCGTCCCACACGACTTCCCTGAAAAAAGGTCACCCTGTAAAAAAATATTACTGCAAAAAAAAAATTAACAAGGAAGTTATTTTCTTTTAGATCTATCACGAAAAGTATGTTTCATGAAGATTCAAAATATGCACACGACTTGGCTCACTATTTTTGCATACCTCCTAATTTCAACAATACAGATATAATCTCTATAACGATTTTCTCTGCATAATTAATTTTTTTTTTCAATTCTGTTGGTCCCATAGGGTTTTCAACCAATCTTATGGGGATTCTCTAGGACGGAATTATTCACAACGAATTTTTTTCCGGTTCCCTGAATTTCGTTGTAGAGAATTGTCCACCAGTAAAAAATCCACCATCAATCCCAATAGTAGCCTAATTTTTTTTCTCTGAAAATTCTAGGAAATTGTTCAAGTCCATCCATTCTATCATCTTTTCCCCGGTCACTTGAAAAAAAGATTCAGATTTATAGTTTTTGCTTTCAAAAACTGAAACTGGCAGCAAGGATTTATTCAGTAAATCTTCGACAAGATTCCCGTTCTACAGATGGCGTTCGATAGAAAAATAATTCTGTCTTTGATTTTCGTTCTATTGTCAATTTCGCGATTTTATAAAGGCATTGCGATCAAACACGTTTTGAGCCCGTGTGTGCTACGAACATTGAATTACGGTAGTCAAATCAATCGAATAACCTTGAAATAATTAATAAACGGGGGATTATAACTTTAAAAAAGCCCATGATTAGTAAAAGTTTCATTTTACGCTTGCGCAGACGAGATGCCCTCGCAAAGCTGGCTGTCGAAACATCACCCTCGACATCTTCCGTGTCTGACAGCACAGGGTCGGAATGCAAACCCGATTCAAAGAAACCGAAAGAAACAGCAACACACACGATTAAACCCATACAACGGCCAGACGCGGGCAAAGAAATCGTAAATAACATTCGCAAACGACGGTCTCTCACTCCTCAACGAAATAAGAGACGTCGCCCGAGAGTCACAAACGTTATCCGAATCACTCCTGAGCTCGTGTCAAGGATCGTTCCCGAGAAACCATCAAAGGCGCCGAAAAATATGTCGAATGTTGTTGGCGACGGAGCGGTCGTGGGCGCCGCTGGCGTCCGGGATTTTGGCATGAAAATTGCCGACACGTTGCTGAAGAACATGAGCAGCGTTGCGGATCCGAAGTTTCCTTACGTGATGCGGAAATCCTTGAATGACTGCTTTTTGCGAACCGTTAGACTTCACGTACAGGAGCTGACGTCCCACCCAAAAGTTTTATGTTATATATAAAAAATAAGAGAGGAAGTGGACCTAGTGACGCACGTTATTGCTTATCTAAGGATGACAAGACTAAAGGAATACATCCGAAGCTAATCTATTGAATCTTTAGACCAAAATAGATAAACTTACCATTTTTTTTGTCATTAATTACAGCGCTTCGAAGCAAGTAATACGAGGGTTGTTCCATTTGGACACGACTTGTGATACTTTGAGGGTAGATGTGCTCAGTGTTCAAAAAAATAACCGTGATACTGCACAGCCCATGATGTTCTAAGGTTCTTAGAATTTTTCCAGATTTTAAATGAAACATTTCCAATTATTGTGTGATGAGTAAAAATTTTCCAGTTTCAGCTGAGCTATTCCACGCTCAGAGGGTGCTAAAGATTCGGCAGGTCAGCTAAAAAAAATGTAGTTTGGTTGTTATATTCATTATTTAAAATTCAGAAAATGATAGGCCATGATGCTCTAAGGTTCTCGGACTTTTTTGGATTAAAAAAATACTTTCCGTTTACTACATGATAAAAAGTGAGAACACCTTTCTAGTTACAGCCGGAGTTCTCCCCCCGTGTGACAAGGTGCTAAAATATGTCAGGCCAGCTAAAAAATGAATATTTTGCTGTTATTACCAATATTCAAAATACGAAAAATTATGGGTAAAATAACAAAAACGTTCATTTAACCTTACAAATTTTAGCACCCTGTCACACGGGTGGAGAGCTCCGACTCGAACTGGAGATTTTTCACTCATCCTACAGTAAACAAAATTTTTTTTATTTTTTATTTCAAGAAAAAGTCTTGAAACTTCCGAACATCATGGGCTATTTCATGAGTTTTCTTTTGAAAATCACACTGACTGAAAATATCAGAGGTCGCATTCAAATGGGACAGCCCTGATATAAATATAAACGAATGATATGTTTACCGATACGATAAGTACATTATACGCGGTAAGCTAAACCGAAGTGGATTCCGTGAAGCAAGAAATTCTCGCGCACACTTCGCTGCAAACAGGACTTCTGGGATGCATAGCACACAATTATCTGATTTGTTTTTGTGATTGTCTTTTTCTGATCAATTGATAACATAGCCGAAAACAATCGAAGACTTCCAACGAGCAACGGAAGAATACGACCTGATTCCGATAAAAGCTGCCAAGATGGCAGGGGTCCAGCCGGGCATAGTCAAGGTAAAACGACGCGTACCTTCACTCCGGCCGACCACAACGACCCCTGTGTCACAAAAACGCAATCGGCGATCCTTGAGCCACCAAATGGGCGACAGTCCAAACTTGGACTCAAGGTCTCCTCCGAATCCGACGCCCAGTAGCTATTCTACACCCACACCACAAAGACCGCGAACTCCGGACAATTCAACGAGTCCGTCAGATGGCTTGATTCGGATTCGACACCGAAGCGATGGTGTCATGCGGGCGGCATCTAGTGGAGATGTCCGGAGGATACGTGTGAGGACTACGGTGGACGAGGACCAATTCAGCGATGACGTGTTGACCTCCACGGATGAAGAATCCGACGACTTCAGCGACGAACGAGCCCATAGCCCTTCCATTTCGAGGTACGATTGATTCGTCGATAGAAAATATACCGAAAACTCAGCTTCCATCGTCAGCACTTCCGCGCATGATCATTGAGCTAAGCATTACGGAAAAGTTGGCGCCAATTGCCTTCGGGGGATTTATGCATTGGCGACACCTATGGAGCACGATTAACTTCTCACACTTTCTTGTTTCATAGTTTGACGCCAGGTGTCGCATTCGACCCGGGGTAGTATCCATTTCAGAATTATCTTCAATAGTTGAGAAGATGGAACACGTTTAGCTAATACAGCATTGCCAAGTAGACAGACGTGGATAAGTATCTTCAGTCACCTGAGAGAGATGTCGCTGTTTTCCATGCATTCGGCTCAGTCCCTTCACATCCGAATAGTTAACCCGATGTACGGTAGATGGAGCCCCTCAATTACGGAACCGGAAATATAGGATCTACTCAAGGACCTCGTAGTGACGTCACTGAAAAACGAAGTTCATGAGACGTTGAAATATCATCTCAGACTTAAAAACCTTCAAAAATGTCGTTGAAATGTAATAATTCTAGGTCTGCTCTGCATCGCCTGGCCAGACGCAAAGGCGGCAACCTCACAAGCTCCAGCACATGCACGACATCTTGCGACTCTCACTTGAACCTGACCCGGTCAACGGCGGGTTCGTCGGCCCGTCAATCCTCGCCCACATATTCCACTTCGTCATCCTCTTCAGACTCGGTCATCTACCGTCGACAACGTCGTCGTTCTGGCAGTCGTCATCATCGTCATCGACGTGGCTGGTCGTCATCCAGACCAAAGCTCCCCACGTCGTACGACTCTCTGCTACGTTTGGACGTGGAACGACGCCGATCGTCTGCGACTCACATCCTGTCAACCAGCACTGATTTCAGTGACCACGAGCGCCAAAATGCCAAGAAACCGGAAAGGGAAGCCAGTGGATCGACTGTTTCCGAGCCGATTGAGCCTCCCGATGACCGAGAAGCTCGACGAAGGAAGAAGAAGAAGGCCAGGGAGAAAGGCAGAGAGGAATATCGTAGGAAGATGAGGCATCAGCAAGCCATGGCTTTGGCTCAACAGACTGTCATTGCTGAAATGTTCCGCACAGCCTCTGAGGAATACCTACAACCAAAGTAAGTCTGATAATGAATGGTATCTTTGCACAGATAATAATAATAATCAGTGACAATCCTAACCAAATTTCCTTAGCAATAAAATACGTAAATCATCAGTACCACAATTCTTCAATTTTCTAAACATGCACTTGCCTTTTTTCAAGCCGAAGTTATATTGGCCTTAATACAGTACATTATATCTTTCAACAGTTTGAACGCTTGCTGTTTTTCTTTTCAAGAAATTCAACAAACTACTGATGAAACAAATTCACGGGAATGTCTGTCTGATAATGAAGGGTATCTTTGCGCAGATAATAATAATCAGCAACAATCCGAACCAAGTTTCCTTAGTAATAAATTACTGTAATCATCAGTAACACAATTCTTAAATTTTCTAAACTTCTACCAATCATGCACTTGCCTTTTTTCAAGACGAAGTTTTATAGGCCTTCATACATCACATTAAATCTTTCCACAGTTTGAACGCTTGTCGTTTTTCTTTTCAAGAAATTCAACAAACTACTGAAGCAAATTCACGGGAATGTCTAATGGACATTATTTCAGATTATTGCCAGACATTCCCGTAAATTTTCTTCGGCAGTTTGTTGAATTTCTTTTTTTTTTAAACGACTAGCGTTCAAACTGAAAGGATTTACGGCATTCAGAGCCTATACAAATTCTTCAGAAAAAAGAAGACAAGTGCGAAATTGATCGAAGTTCGGAAAATATAAATATTGCGTTACTGCAATTTATTACTACGCATTTACCGAAACTAATCCATTCCTACGGATGCGAGGAATTTTCGAAAGGCGAAACGGAATTACCCTCAAGGATAAAAGATGAATTAATCACTGTCATTCGTTCCAGAAATTTACCAAAATATCCACAATAAAAATTCAATGACAGGTTTTTTGAGTAATTTTGTGAGTTTATTCGGGTGTAAATTTCAATTACTTTCAACAAGTTTGTTTATGAATTTCTCAAATTTCAGGAACAGGAAATGGAAAAAATATATACCGTACTTCTTATACATATCTTACCTTTAATTTAGTTAGAATATTCCAAAGTTATAGCTCAAATCTTGCCAAAATTCGAGTGCTTTCCCACCAAAAAAGTTTGTTACGTGAAAAATTCCTTTTTTGAGTTTTTAGTTCTAGTTTCAGCCAGATTTTTCCCCAACATTTTTTCGCACGGAGATTTTTTCAATGCGGATATTTTGCATGTCTTACGTTACTCGGGGATTCATTTGAAGGTTCAACTCGGTTCCCACGTTTGTTTGACGCCTTCAGAACCCCTGAAAAATCTAATTTTTTAAAAATATTTTATAATGATTTTTATTATAGCCTCGAACGTCAAAACCACTGAAAAAACCTTCATTAAATTGGGACAAAAATCAAAAAATATATTCGCGCCTTCGCGATTCCAATTTCAGGAAAATGATTAGCGTCACAAAGCGGCTCGTCAGCGACAGTGAAGCCAAACGCAGGCACGGCCACCGGAAAAGACCAATATCCGCTCTGCGCTACGCCAAAACCATACAAAAGCCTATTCCACTGCAAAATTTCACGGCTTCCAGTCCCAGAGTTGACATACCCATTCACAAGCTCATCTCGGAAAGCCGAAGGAAAGCAGCAGTCATGAAAAGCCACCGGAAACTCGAGGCTTCCATGGACGCCTCCTACGCCAGTGGCGCCGTTTCGTCATTGAAAGACGCCAGAATCACGCATTCCGAGACCCGAAACGTTCATCATGATCATCGAAATAAACCGGTGACTGAGAAGGATAAATCGCAGAGTTCGGGGCAAAAAACTACAGCCAGTGAGAACCTGAGCGACCCGTTTTTCAAGATGTTTGGGTACTCGCCGGCCAAAAGCGGTACCCCTTCAGCAGCGGTGAATATCGAATACAGTGCCGCATTATAGATAAAATATGGCCTCATATTATAAAGATAAATATCAGAATAATCGATGCAGTACCTGCTCATTTTAATGTGATTATTCTCGAGAGCCTTGAAAATTTATTTCTCACGTGCTGGAGGTGCCCGGCCACACCTGGGTGTCAAATATATTTTTTTTCCTACACATGAAAAAAAAATTTTTTTTTCATGTGTGGGAAGTTTGCATTCAAAAAAAAAAATCAGGATCACATGTTAATTTAGCTTTATCATGCAGGTCACAATTATCTCATGAGCTGCTTTTGTTTTTCAAACCCCTAAGATATTATAAAGTCTTCAGAATAATGTGGAATTTATGATTTCGTTTGACAAGGAAGCGCTGAATTTCGTAGATTTTGCGACTCAAATGTTTCACTCTTGATTTTCAAAGAAGCCCCGTTTTCTCCTAAAACGTGATTCAATTTTAATATTTAAAATGCATGTGAACATTCATTTCCCTCGCAATTTTCTCTCGCTTGTACTCGTTTGACCTCTTTGGTAAAATTACGCACCAGAAGGTATCCGGAAACAGTTATTCCGTTAATGCTTCATCTTTGAATGGATTTCAATTTCTAATAGACCTTCGATAGCCCTCACGAAGGTAAAAAGTGCATCAAAATTTGCACAGAAATTTGGTGTAGGAAAATTTGCATGACTGCTTCCCAATCGACGTTTTTCTTCACCTAATCAGAAAGTAACTTTAAATTTTTAATCGACCAAGTATTCACACAGCGTTAAAAATGTAATTGAAAATTAAAATTGGGCACATGCAAAAATTAGTTCGCACAACTCCCACAACTATGTTTTTCATAGCTGTGGAATGGAATATTTTATACAGTATAGTATGAAGATATATTTAATAGTAATACTTGGTAATATTTTATATAGTAATATTTTATACATTTTGTATTTTTTTTAATGCAGCTCTCTCAGTTGCAGCAAAACAAATAATGTCCTAAACCTAGATTCTCTTTTAGAACATTCGGAATTGGGACATTAGCTTCACAGATATTTAATTAACGAAGAGCCCAATTTTAGGGTGTCTTCTTAAATTTAGCATTTTCCAGTTTTTGGAATTTTAAGAAGAAAAAAGTCAAACATGAATTTTCCATTCACAGTGGTAAAACTTCCCTGAGCCTCTTAGTTCAGCTCTCAAATTCGAAAATACACATTCGAATTGAACCAATGCTATTTTGGATAAACAAGTTGATTTCTTTTAAACTAGGGTTCGTGTTAAAAGCCGTCCCTTTTAGGCGCTTGAGCTTTCAACGTTTTATGGGCAGAGCTCGAGCCAAGGGAGTTTGGTGAGGTGGTAGAGTCTGGATGTAAGATGGTGTTCTTCAAAGTAAAGCTTCGCCATGTGTCGAAGGCCAGCTGTGTTCTCCGCACCAAATGAATTTAGATTCGAACGACCAAGTTTGGCTCCCAGATGTCGCTCCTTTGGACAAAAATACATCGCAACGACCAGCACCACCAACGGCAACAAACCGCCAGGATCCAATTTCGGACAAAGTAGTCGACGACGCTGCGAAAATATTGCCAGGAGTTCTTAGACATTCCAAGACCCCGAGTTTCTTTTACGAAAATTATGCACCTGTAGGAGACAATAGGATTCCTACTGGAATGGGGAAATCAAGATCCGATCGAGCGGAAAGCGAGCCTTTGGCCAGAAGATTAAGTAAACGCATTTCGAGGTTAGTTTTATTTTTTTGAATAAAAATGAATTCTTCGTGCTGAATAATTTTTACGAATTATCCGTGCTGAATAAAATTTCTTGGAATGGCACTAGTATTCTGTTGACGGCGTAATTTTCGTATTCATCACTCAAAAATCTGCACAAGTATTTAAAAAAACAAAACAAAAAAACAAGTGAGTTACGGTAAACACCGTACGTTGCTTGCATCGGATTTGGAATTTTCTCTCCAATTGCTCAAAAAAAACTGAGCCCAAAGCGAAACTTTCGCAAAAAGATCACGTAAACGCATTTCGAGGTCCAGTTTTTTTCTTAAATCGTTGGCAGATGAAAATTTCTCGGAATTAAACTCGGCGGTAATTTCGAAATTCAACAAATGCATCGCATACATTTGATATCGAAGTACGATAAATATACTGACTGCATCGGATTTGAAATCGTCTTTCACATCGCTCACGAAAAACTGAGCCGAAAGCGAGCCTTTGATGAAGCAGCATTTCGAGGTTACTTCTACTAGTAGTTGCTTTTTTCGGTGATTAAATTTCTTAGGCTTGACACTCGTATTTCTTTGGAGGGGTGATTTTTCGCAGTAAAAATTGCATATATGTGTCACAAAAGTACGGTAAACTTACTTTCAAATTGCTCAAAAAAATTTAGCCAAAAGCGGGTCTTTGGTCAAGATCATTTTAGGGTGATTTTTGTTTCTAGCTCACTGATTGTAAATTGTATAATTTTGAAAAGTTTATTTCTTTGTGAGGAAAATATTCAACATGTGTTGTCCAAAAAAACTATCAAGGCAAGTACAGAGAATGTGGTGATCAGTCACTGTTTTACTTTATTGCTTACAGTCAAGACATTGAGTCAGAGGTTTAAATTGTTTTCTGCAACTTTTGAAGCTAACACAAAAGTTACTCCATGAGAGTATATCAAAATAGTTTATTTTATCCTTCACACAGTAGATACAAATACAGTTGTTCCGGAGCTAAGCAATGTCAACAAGGTGTCCAGTCAGTCATGTGCGGTAAACACAACATAAAATGCACCTGTATATATAGCCTTGGTTGGCCAAGGTCAAGAAACCCACATAGAAACCAATTTGGATTGAGAGTGTCATACTTGGTTTCTTTAAAAGGAAGTAAGTGTGAGCACAGCTGGGAAAGTATTCCATCAACAATGAGATTGTGAAATATAATTGCTAGTGCACCAGGCACAGCCAAGTGTATCAAAAATACATTAGCTTAAAAGGGTTGCACAGAAAGTTTTTGTATGTTGTAGTTGTTAATGACTACACATGGAATACTTATGATACTGAAGTACGGTAAAAACAGTTCAGTCCAAATATTCCGTTTTGCTTGAATCAGAATCAAAATCGTTCTTCTAATTGCTCATCACAAAACAAAAACAACAACAAAACTGGACCCAAACACAAGACAAATTGCTTTCAAATTCTTCCCAAGCCACTACTGAAGCTATTCAAATCCCCCAAATTATTCCCCAAAGGTCAATTTCCAGAGTCTGCCTGAGAGGTCGTCAATGGCGCCACGCGCACGACATGACTGACACTACCGCCACGGACCCGTCGCCAATCGACACGCAATCCGTGCCCAAAAGCGACGATCATTCCGGAGATTTGCCGCGAAAAGAATCCCTGACGCAAAGGATGCGCAAAAGCGTGGATCTCCTGCTTCGGAGGAACCGGAATCGAGAACAGGACCAGGAATTACCAACACCACCGCCATCACCACCACCGCCGAAACATGAACCAGTGACGGTACCACTGACCACCACGATGCATGCTGCTGGAAAGTCTGCTGGTAAAACAGGCAGACCTCTGGTATCTGGGCCGGTTTATGGCACGTTTGTGGACAGCCGAGTGGAGGGGTTCCATGGACCATCACCATATGCACTCCACCCTGAAGTGGGACACGCAATGTGAGTCACTGCAGAACCATATTTCATATTTTTTTATAAGTATTTTTTTTTTCGAAATGCACAGCAATGGAGCACACACGGTTTTTCTTTAAAACATCCCTTCAAACACAGAGAATCGAATCGATGTCTTGCCAAAAATATTGTAAAATATTGTTAGAACAAAGAGCAACCCAAGGAGAATATTTGTTTAAATTTGAAATGCGTTCAAGGGTGACTCCTGGCTTTTTGAAACATTCAGGAGATTAGGACTAAAATTTTGGGAATGAAATGATTCAAAATCATATATTTTGACGCCTCCATTTCCAAATATTTTTGATGAATCAATCAAGACTATTGTGAGTCACTGCAGAACCATATTTCATATTTTTTCAAGTATTTTTTTTCGAAATGCACAGCAATGGAGCACACACGGTTTTTCTTTAAAACATCCCTTCAAACACAGAGAATCGAATCGATGTCTTGCCAACAAATCTTGTAAAATATTGTTAGAACAAAGAGCAACCCAAGGAGAATATTTGTTTAAATTTGAAATGCGTTGAAGGGTGACTCCTGGCTTTTTGAAACATTCAGGAGATTTTGACGCCTCCATTTCCAAATATTTTTGATGAATCAATCAAGACTATTGTGAGTCACTGCAGAACCATATTTCATATTTTTTGAGTATTTTTTTTCGAAATGTACAGCAATGGAGCACAAACGGATTTTCTTGAAAAAAAAATCCCTTCGAACAGAGAATCGAATCGATGTTTTGCCAAAAAAAATCTTTTAAAATATTGTCACAACAAAAGAGCAACCCAAGGAGAATATTTGTTTAAATTTGAAATGCGTTGAAGGGTGACTCCTGGCTTTTTGAAACATTCAGGAGATTAGGACTAAAATTTCGGGAATGAAATGATTCAAAATCATATATTTTGACGCCTCCATTTCCAAATATTTTTGATGAATCAATCAAGACTATTGTGAGTCACTGCAGAACCATATTTCATATTTTTAATAAGTATTTTTTTTCGAAATGCACAGCATTGGAGCACACACGGTTTTTCTTAAAAAACAATCCCTTCAAACACAGAATCGAATCGATGTCTTGCCAAAAATATTGTAAAATATTGTTAGAACGAAGAGCAACCCTTGGAGAATATTTGCTTCAATTTGAAATGCGTTCAAGGGTGACTCCTGGCTTTTTGAAACATTCAGGAGATCAGGACTACAATTTTGGGAATGAAATGATTCAAAATCATGTATTTTGACGCCTCCACTTCCAACTATTTTTGATGAATCAATCAAGAGAAATAGAATAGTAGAATTCATAAATTTCAGAAATATATGAAGTACTGATCCCAATAAAAATTATCGACTGACAAAATTCGCAATATAGAGCACTTCATTGCATTACCATTCTGTTTGAAAAAGCAACATTCCTTCGAAAAAAAAAAACTTATATTTAAAAGAAAGAAGCTCCTTTGGAATCGTGATAAGCTAGAGAAATTCTTCAGATTAACATTGATATTTCCTGCAATAAAACATAGCATTTCTTCTACTCTATTTTCTTTTACCTCTCAGAAAGTTATGTTTCGCTAATTATGGTACTGTATATTCAATATTTTGATAGAAAAATCTGAGAATCTTGGTGAATTAGTTTTTCTAAATCTGAGGACCCCTGGAAGAAATTTGTCGTGATAAAAAATTTGTCGCAACGAGATTCGGTCAAACGAAATTTTAGTGCATTTTTAAAATATCACGAGTGAAGTATTATCATAATTGTAAATAAAATCCCAGTTGTACAAAATTTCCCAATTTCCGATTCTCGGCCTTTCATTTACAGCAACAACGTTTTTCTGTAACTTCACTGCATAAGAGCCTCTCAATATATTTCAATTCCGATTTTTCAGCCCTTTTAATCGAACTCACGATCACGTTTTTGCCTTCAGAAACGGTGAAAAGCCCCCCACTTCTCAAATTGTGTCTGAAAACTGTGTTTGCATATCCTTTTCAATCAGGGAATCAAGTCTTGCAGAAATGAAATGAAAATACAGTCCAATTTCCTCAAGGAAATTGACAAGTTACTTAATTACAATAAAAAAAAGAAAACCTCTATGCATGCTCATTGCTCATCATTTTTCGAATTCCCATAATTTTCAGGGCGCAACCAGACATGATCTCCCTCCCGGCAGGCCAACGAGAGGTCGCTCCTCTCGCCAAATTCTTCATCTACCCAACAACTGCGAAAAGCAGTGCGAGTCTCACCGCCAAGTCCCGCACATCCACCAACTGGTCCACGGCCAAAATCGCGCCAAATGACTCTGTCGCCTCGAGCCGACGACTCAGCAAACGTCAGTCATCCCAAAACATTGTCAACTTGTCAGAGAAACCCAGCCAACTCACGACACCCGGGAAACGACGCAAATCTTCGGCAGCGAGTTCCCGGAAAATGAGTCTCGAAGGCAGTCGAAGACTCAGCAAACGCCAGTCTTTCCAAAACGTGTCTGAAAACCCCACTCGAGGAGAAGAAGCAACTGCTAGCATTCGACGCAAATCCTCAACCGCGAGTTCGAAAAAAGTCAGTATGGAATCGAGTCGGAGGCCCAGCAAACGCCAGTCTGTCCAAAATATCCCCAGTAACTCATGGCCAGAAGAACGCGGCACCAGCAGCATCAGCCACGTCCAAAGGACACACGGAAAACAACGAAAATCTTCAAAAAATGTCAGTCGAGACGAAAGCCGCAAAATCAGTCAACGCCAGTCCGTGTCCAACTTGCCTGAAAAATCTTTAAGCTCGGGTTTCACGCCATCAAACAAATCCCCCATGATGTTGGGAAGCACAACAGTGCCTCGAACCCCGGCGGAACCCCCGCCTTCAATCCTCTCGGAAGCCAAATCCAAACCCCTGTCGACCGTCGAAGAACTCGACGAATTCCTCTTCAACACATTCTCGCCGACAATCGATACCAAGTCCACGTCTCGGATCGACTCCAGGTCCTCCAAGATACCCGTCAAGAAACCCTCGGCCGTGTTTAAGAACCCGTCCCAACCTCCCACTCCGATTCAAAAACTCATGCGCTTGAGTCGAATTGACCTGAGTGCTTCTTCGTCTGCTGACACTTCTTCTAGGCGGGAAAAACCGGATTCACCCGCGACTTCTGAAAAGAAGCTGACTTGGAGTAAACAGATTTCGTTGGAAGTTTCACCGAGAGGAAGTCAAGTGGATTTGAAATCAGAAAGGTCGCAGAAAAACGATGGGATAAAGAAGGACTCGGATCTCGGGGCTTTGCAATCGGGGATTGGTTCGGATATTTCCGTGAAAGCTTCGAAAACCAAGTGGCCAGATGGTTCTTTGAAGGGTTCAAAGATCCCATCATTAACCCAATCTTTTCAGAATGGCGAAAAAGAATCATCTGCGAAAATTTCTGCGGTTTCGTCCCGAAATCGATCCAAAGAAAAGGTACTTGTGGGACTTCAAAGCAAAAAAAAAAAAACATTTCAAAATAAACAACGAAAAAATGAAAGAAAAACATCCCTCAGAACATGAGTATTTAAAAAATTACTGCATGCACTCCTTCCAAGAAAAAGTATTTCTTGCGTGAAATAATTAATTTGAAATTCTCGTGCTTTATGTCCGAGAAAAGTTCCAGAGAAAAGTAGATAATTGCACAGGGTTTGTTCCAAATTCCTGTCAGTACGTCAAAAAGTACCCTAATCAACAGTCCATGCTTCTGAGTCCGAATCAATTTTGTGACCTGCAATTTGATGCAAGATTTAGGCAACTTCTTGCTCGTAAAATTGTCACTTCGCTGAATTTAATTCAAGATCCAACATCAGCGTCACAGAAGTTGCCAATATCCAAAGGTTTTCGCAAAATAATTTTCAAATCTGGGACACCGCTCAAAAGAGCTTTAAATTTAATAATCAAGGGGAGAGCATCTATAAATTCATAAAACTCTAAAGTAAACAGAGTTCATCAAGGGTTTACAATACTTCACTTCTTTTCAATTCCAACCCAAAAATTAAGACTACTGTAGTCAGTAAATATATTACCCATTAAAAATGCATGAAAATTCGACATCTTTTTCAGCATAGTTTAAATTGTAATATAGTGAGACCCCCACATGCGGACACCTCGACATGAGGGCAATTTGACACAGGGACATTTATTTTTCAATAAAAAAAGCATAAAAAAGGTCCGACATACGGACATTGACTCAACATGAGGACATTACATGATAAAATTGCCAATAAATTTCACAAAAATATACTTTTATTCGGCTTGATTGCGAGAAATAGATATTTCCAAACCTAAGATTTATGCAAGAAAAATTCTTTTATCATTTCTCCCATCATTTTTCCATCCAGCTAATTTAAAAAATTACCTATCGCATAGGGGGACTTCCTTTTCTCTTTGAGACTTGAATGTTATTTTTGTAGATGCCAACATTTCAATTTCCAGTACAGAGATACTTTATTCAATGCTTCGAATGTTTTTGTTGAGTTAAAAATATATTTACTGAATAAAATTCAAGAGTCAAAAAATTTTTTCCTTGAATTCTGAAGAACATTTCTTCCATGAAACGCCAATTAAAATTATTTAATGGAAGTATGTGGGAAAACAAGACTCGACTTGAGGACAATTCAACTTAGGGACACTCTTGATGCACCAATTATGTCCGCATCTGGGGGGTTTCACTGTAATATATTTTTTTCACTATTTTTTATGCTTCAAATTTTGCTTTATTGTCGCTCGCTAAAATTACCCTTCCATTCTTCGTGAAAATTTCAGGTTTCCGCGAAGAAATCCTCTGAGAAATACTCATATGAATTGCCTTCACCCAGAAGACTCGAATCCATTCCTCAATCTCCCTTCACAATGGGTTCAAAAAAGTCTACGCAAAACTCAGCAGTCGATTCAGCCACTAGAAAACCCGGATTTCCTCAACAAACGGGAACTGGATTCCAGCCAGAAAAGCTGGATACTTTGGTCACAATTCCAAACGAGCCCTTAATAAAGCATCCGAAGAAATCCAAGAGCAGTTCAAGAGTCGCCTCAGCAACGAGAACTCCGCGGAAATTTTCAGAAACCTCCAAAAATCCAATAGCTGAAATAACTTCAATAAAATCGAACAAGGAATCCACGCCTGGTTCTCGAATGTCTCGCCGACAATCCGCAGAAAAACTGCGCATCAAGTCCAGAGGAAACTCATCTGCTCCCAGTTCCCGAATGTCTCGCCAATACTCCGAAGACAAATTCCACGATTTGCGGAAACTCGACAGCGTCAATTCCTCGAAAGAAGCTTCCCGAAAACATTCCGGGAAAATCGTCGCACCGCCAGAACCGAATGTTTTCGTCAAAATCAGTCCTCGGAAGGATTCGTTGTTGCATCTCCCGCCTCGACCTTCGGACACCATCCCCAGCCAGGAAGCCATCCCCGTCATCAACACGATAACAAAATCCAAATCTGCTAGAAACTCTCTGGAAAACCTGGGGTCTTCTGCAAAGTCTATAGCATCCAACAGCGACGTTTCCACTGCTGCTTTGTACGTTGCCCGAATGTCCAAGGAAGGGAAAACGCATCAACAGCCTGATCCGAAATCCAAGCTGACTGCGGCCAAAGTTCGCGACATTATTCAAGCCAAGCTTTCGAAAACCCCATTGAAGAACCCGCTGGCAACGAGTAAAGCTCAACGGGAAGATATTTTGAACAAAATTGAGAGTATTATTCAAGATTCGGGAGCCGATAACACTGTCGAGTCTCCTGCAGGATTCATTGGACAACAGTTGTCGACAAACGAGCCGACCATAATGACGATGAGCAAGAAAAACTCTCCAACGTCGGGTAAACACCTTGACAAACGTCAGTAAAATTCCATTTATTTATTTCTTTCTTTTAATTTTAAGAATAGAAGATTCAAATTTTTTTTTTGTTGCTGGTCAATCATAAATTTCTTTAAATACATGGTTTCATGAAAAATTAGTTTTCTTTCAAGAAGGGTTCTTCTCAACTTCTCGAAGCTGGAAAGATTTTTTTGTAGCAGTTATTAAAATACTATTAAATATTATTAAATATAGTGATGAACTCTTGCATCCTGAAAAGATGTCATTTAAAATGCTCTGTTCAATTTGAAAATTGGTAGCAGTATATGCTGAGGAATTCGCCCGCAGTTTTGTTCTGGATTTTATTCTTTCGTGACAGAAATCATAAAAAATAATCATCTCGACAATTTTTGGGACATCCAAGCTTAAATTCAAAATGTCTTTTCTTGGGATTATTTCATATTTAATTTCTCAAATTCTTTCGGACCAAGCATATTTTTGAGAGAAGGTGCAATCCTAAAAACGAAAATTATCGAAAAATATTCCTTGTGTGCTGCACAGAATGATGAAAACAATTATAACATCAATTTTCATGTTCTCTAGAACAGAACGGAATAGAAAATCTGATCTTTTTATCAGTACACTTAACTGAAGGGTTCCCTCACAGCAAAAACAAATTCACAACGCGCAGGGTTAATTTAATTCAGGGTAAGGTTTATTTTCAAATCTAAATCTGATATTGTTGATCATGCGATTTCCCTTATTTTATTATACTGGAAATTAAGTGACAACTAAAGCCTCCAGACATGGAATTAAAAATCGCAATCCCTAAACGCTGAGGTGAACGAATTTTTTTGATAAATGGAAATAAATTCAAGGTAACAAGCCATCCCTCGACGTTTTTCAAGTGGAACCCACGGAAAACCGAGGTTCGAGAAAGCAAGAACCTGTTCCTTCAGTGTTGCCAACTGAAGCAAGCGCTCAAAATCCCAAGGCAGCGGGTCTCAGGAAGACAGCCAAACAACGCCCCTTGAATACCCAAAATATGCAGGCCCCCAGCTCTGTTCGAGAGAGCAGGAAGTGGAGACATTCCCACTTGGGTCTCACTAACGCGCAGTGGAACCCAATGACACCCATCAACGCCAACCTGACAAAAGTCAAGCTCTCCAAAAAGAAGCAACCGTCTATTTTGAAGCAAATGCGAGACGTTGAAAAACGACTGGAAGCACAGAAACCTCACAGATATAATGTCAATAGGTAATTCCTTTCATATACAGTATTTTTTCATTTGCCAAGCTAAAATAATTTAACCAAGCAACAAACGAGTTGAAACTCAAACCAGTTGAACCTGACACCAAACCTGCTCAACCTCACACCAGACCCAGGTCAATCCCACACAAAACTAGCTGAACCTCACGCCAAACCAGGTCAACCTCATACCACATTAGTTGAACCTCACTCCAAACTAGTTAAACCTCTCTAAAAACTAGTATAACCTCACACCAACCTAGTCTAACCTCCCACCAAACTAGTTGAACCTTCCAACAAATTGGTTCAACCTCCCACCAAACTAATATAGCCTCACACCAAATTATTTTAGTCTCACTCCAAACCAGGTCAACCTCCCAACAAATTAGTTCAACATCACATTGAACTAGCTGAACCTCAACCCCAACCAGTAGAATCTCACACCAAACTAATTCAACCATCTGACAAATTTGTTAAACCTCACACCAAACTAGTTTAACCTAACACCAAACTAGTTTAACCTCACACCAAACTAGTTTAACCTCACACCAAACTAGTTTAACCTCACACCAAACTAGTTTAACCTCACACCAAACTAGTTTAACCTCACACCAAACTAGTTTAACCTCACACCAAACTAGTTGAACCTCACACCAAACTAGTTTAACCTCACACCAAACTAGTTTAACCTTACACCAAACTAGTTTAACCTTACACCAAACTAGTTTAACCTTACACCAAACTAGGGCAACCTCACACCAAACTAGTTAACCCTCACATCAGTCACACCAAACCAAGGCAACCTTACAACAAACTAGTTAACCCTCACATCAGTCACACCAAACCAAGGCAACCTCAGACCATATTATTTTAATCTCACACCAAACCAGGTCATCCTCACAGCAAATCAGTTGAACCTCACACCAAACTAGTAGAACCTCACACCAAACTAGTTGACCTTCGCACCAAGCCCTAACCTAACGTTTAAATCTTGTCCATAATCATCCTCACACAATGCCTATTCCGCCTAGTCAAAAATAACCTACTTAACCAAATGAACCCAGTTTTACCAAACATTTACTGGAAGCACAAGATTCAGATTTCAGCCAGACCCAGAAAATCGTGACATTTTTCGCTCTGCCTTAGATACCAGCACACCCCAAAGCCGCCTCCGCAACCCGTGGCAACCATCGCAGCCCAGCAGCAATCCCGTTCAATACCCACCAGCACTGACACAACCTTTGTCACTGCGCACCCAATGACACTCGGCGCACGTGACCACATCACCCAGATGCACACTGCTCACCGTCGCGGGTCGGCGCGGCGTCCCAACCGCCCCGGCGACATTTTCTCCGCCGCCATCAACAGTGTGCCCAGGAACGCCCCGCTGCCGAAACCTGCGTCATTTATGAAAGGTAAAATGCCGACGGCAACGACGACGACGACACTCGTCACCGTGCCCGTCAAAAAGTCGGATTCTCCGACGCATTTGGACGCTATGGGCAGGCGACGGAAAAGTCATAATCAGCAGGGATTCAGGCAGAAACATCTTCAGTCGCAAGGGTTCAATGTTTTGGCGAGGACAATGACACCGTGTCAAAGAGCCAAGTCAGTTTAAACCTCGCATTTTTTTTTTCCAAGGCCTGGATGCAATTTGTCAGTTGAAAATATCCGGAATTCATACTTATTGGCATGTAAATAAAATTTTTAATTCCGAATTTATACCCATGGGCATAATGAAAAATGTCAAATATCCTTGCACAAGTCATACGAAGATGCACGATTGATATTTTTTCTGCGGCATAAAATACAAATTTACACTTTCGATCTTTTTTTTTTAAATGTATAGCTTATTTAAGTAAGATATATTATTGATATTGGGAAATTGTGTCCGGAAAAAATCTTTGTGAATCTAAGGATTCCTCCAACGAACCTTCAGAAGTCGTCTTTTCTCGAGGCCTTTTGTCTTTGACTTGATTGAAACATGAAAAAGAAAAGCAAAAAAAAATCAATAACTTGATACATTTCGAAAGGAAGTTGAAGATTAATTGCAAAAAACCCTCGCTTATTTAAATAAGCTATAGGCTTAAATATGTTTTTTTGTCAACTTATTTATTTATTTATACTTGTAAATTCATGGTTTATACTTTATAGCATACATTTTCTTTGGCGTCACTTATTGATATTGGCAATGAACGAAAAACACCCCTATAGCCCATTTTTGCAACAGCCAAAAATTATGCGTGCATTTAAAATCGCCGTAATGACCACAATAGAATTATAATTATACAATTCCGCGTTCATTTCTAAGTACCGTACGCCAATTTTAATTTCAATGAATTATAATTGAGGTTAAATCGAGATTTTTTTTTTTTGGCTTTTCAAGATTACGACGAATGCACGAAGCCAGACAAAAACACGGACGTCAAAGCCTCGTCACGAAAACCCTCTACGGCCACGACGACGACGACGAATACGCAGTTCGACACAAAACCGGCTCCGACACCCACCTCAAATCCTCGGCGTCAACCTCGAAAAAAGTTCGAGCCAGCCTCAAAAACATTGCCCTCACTCATCCGTCCAAGAAGAAAGCCTCTCATCATCAACTCGTTCCCGATGACGAAGACATCTTAACCAACACTCACCAGTCCGCCGATTCAGAAAACCACAATAAGACGAACGATGTGACGAATCCCTTCAACAAGCGACGACCTTCCGGAAGTCACGAGGATTTGCAAATGCTCGAGATTTTGCCACTGGTGGGCAAAAAGTTGGAAACCCCGTCGGACACAGTTGTCTCGCGTCGCGGCAAGGGGTTGAAGAGGGTCAAGAAAATTGCCCCTGTTCCGGTCCTGCCTAGTTTGACTAGCATTTCTGAGGATAATCAAGAAGAAAAGACAGTACGACACGTGAGTAATTTTGAAAAAAAAAAATTCCGCCTCTTGAAGTCACCGTGTAAATTAAAAATAAAAGCACGTCACTGGTAAAAATGCCGCAGGGGAAAACTGAAGCGGGTGAGATCGCCGCAAAATGAAGGAAATTTGAATTAACAGCAAATGCAAAATTTTAATCAACAGCAAATGCAAAATTTGAATTAACAGCAAATGCAAAATTTGAATTAACAGCAAATGCAACGGAAGATTCATATTCACCAGCAAACAAATATTAGACATACAGTACAACCAAAACTAAAATGACTCAATATTCAGATAATTGAAGAGTGAAACCCCACTAATCAAGGAAAAAATCACTGCAGGCCTAAATTATATACAGTATTACGGTAATTATAATGTACATGAAATTGTACATCCCTAACATCATCTAGCATCATCTAACATCCCCTTAATACAGTATATGATACTGTAGCTATTTTGACAAATTCATGGTGCTTTAGTAAAAAATCCATCCAATTTTCAAAAATGTCTGAATGGTGTAACATATTCAGCATAAATACATTAGTTTGTGCATCACCAGAGCACCTTCTCTTCAGCATTTCATACTGAGAGAAACAAGTTTAGGAAAGATTTACAAGTACTGGAATTCAATGAAGAGACCCTTTCTGAAATCTTGAAGGATCAAGATAAACTGTTGGATTTATATGATTTCTCATCAAATATTCTCTAATTTGTTCATTCAACTAAACCTCATACAGAAGCTGAAGACCTTGTGCTTTAAATTGATTTTCACATATATTTGTTACCAATGCCAGGGAGTGAATGGGTGTATGCATACATGTCAGATGTCCAGTTGTATTTCATGTTGTATTGTACAGTATTTTCTTTTCTTTTTGTTATCAATTTTGTGCTTTCCTGCTCTGAAGTGATTAAATGTCATTGAGTGGATTTGGGTTGGGTGGGAAGGGGGTGTGGTTGTGGAAATCTTGATTGAACCTTGTGAACGCTGAAAAGCGGCAAATAAAGTGTTCTGTTCATTCATTCATTCATGAAATTGTCAAAAATGAAAATACACTGCATGAAAATACAGTGGAGGTGATCAACAACAAATCGATTACAATGAATCCGTTTTTCAGACCCTTCATCCATTGAAACGTGTTTTTTTTCTTCAGTATTTCAGTATGGGGCAGTTAATTTACTATTTCAAATGGCTTTGTGGTAACGAAATTTCACCACCGGCATAACTACTTCACTCATCATCATGTATTTTTTGTCATTTGTTCACAACTATGTTCTGGTTAACACATGATTATATTGTGAATGAATCCGTCGTTGAGTTTTGATTACAGTTTGTGGCATTCTAGTTACTCTTTTCTTTCGTTTTTTTTTGTTGTTGTTGTTGATCACATCATTCCCGAAGTCGTTTTTCATTTTTCAGAATTTTGTCAAGAAGCCCATGTTGTCAATTAATTAAATTTGGTTCCTTCAAGTATATTTCGGAAGGGGTGAGTGCCGCGACGAATTTCAACACTTCGTACGCCCCCAGCGCCATGATTTCAGCAGCCATTCAAAGAATGTCTCCGCCAACTGCGTCTAGTTATACCTTGCAACAGATCGTCACCAAAGTTTCAGCTGTGGACCAGGACTCGAATGTCACTCGACAAACGGGTTCTGGTGAATCTGCTGAGAAATCGTCCCCAGTTTCACCGTCAACCAGCGAAAGTCAATACAGGTCAACTATTATTTTCTGAGTCTCTGTTTATTTTCAGTTGATGCAATGTTCCTTGAGAAAATTTTAATATTTGCGATTTTTCTTCTCGGATCGTAGAAGCGTTTTATTTCATGTCCCTTGATTAAAAAAAAATGTTTATCGCTGAAGTAAGACTGAGTCACGGGGTCGAGATTGCCTTCGAACCATCCTCGAAATCTTATAATTTCATCTCAATTGATGAATGAATCACCTGTTTCCAATTATACTTCGACATCTGAACGAGGGTTGGTTCATAAGTCCTGAGACTATTTGAAAAAAAATCCAACAGAGTTTCAACAAAATTCCAAATTTTTAAAATCGCATAGCTCCATTATTTCAGTTGATGCAATGTTCCTTGTGAAAATTTTAAAATTTGCTTATTTTTCTTCTCAGATCGTAGAAGCATTTTATTTCATGTCCCTTGAATAAAAAAAAATATGTTTACCTTTGAAATAAGACTTGAGTCACGGAGTCGAGATTGCCTTCGAACCATCCTCGAACTCTTATAATTTCATTTTAATTGATGAATAAATTACCTGTTAATTACAAAGCACTGCTGAATCCAGTTTTAATTTCTGAAGTAATTTCCAATTATACTTCGACATCTGAACGAGGGTTGGTTCATAAGTCCTGAGACTATTTGAAAAAAAAATCCAACAAAATTCCAACTTTTAAAAATCGCAAAGCTCCATTATTTTAGTTGATGCAATGTTCCTTGAGAAAATTTTAAAATTTGCTATTTTTCTTCTCAGATCGTAGAAGCATTTTATTTCATGTCCCTTGAATAAAAAAAATACATGTTTACCTCTGAAGTAAGACTTAATCACGGAGTCGAGATTGCCTTCGAACCATCCTCGAACTCTTATAATTTCATTTTAATTGATGAACAAATTACCTGTTAATTTCTGAAGTAAATTGCAATTATACTTCGACATCTGAACTTTAAAATCATCCAACAGAGTTTCAACAAAATTGCAATTTTTTCAACTCGCATAGCTCCATTATTTGGCAACACTCAAGTGTTGATTAACGCACTCTCCGTCCATTCCAATGCATTTTTTTTAGGCAAAAACCCAATGTTAAAACAATACCGCATTTTCAAATTCCTGGAACTGTTCTGAGCTTTAGGTTTGTGTTGCCAAATAATGGGGCTATGCGAGTTTTTTTTTTATTTGAAATTGTTTGCTGAAAAGCGGCAAATAAAGTGTTCTGTTCATTCATTCATTCATGAAATTGTCAAAAATGAAAATACACTGCATGAAAATACAGTGGAGGTGATCAACAACAAATCGATTACAATGAATCCGTTTTTCAGACCCTTCATCCATTGAAACGTGTTTTTTTTTCTTCAGTATTTCAGTATGAGGCAGTTAATTTACTATTTCAAATGGCTTTGTGGTAACGAAATTTCACCACCTTCATAATTACTTTACTCATCATCTTGTATTTTTTGTCATTTGTTCACAACATATATGTTCAGGTTAACATATGATTATATTGTGGATGAATCCGTCGTTGAGTTTTGATTTCAGTTTGTGGCGTTCTAGTTACTCTTTTCTTGCGTCTTTTTTGTTGTTGTTGATCACATCATTCCCGAAGTCGTTTTTCATTTTTCGGAATTTTTTCAAGAAGCCCATGTTGTCAATTAATTAAATTTGGTTCCTTCAAGTATATTTCGGAAGGGGTGAGTGCCGCGACGAATTTCAACACTTCGTACGCCCCCAGCGCCATGATTTCAGCAGCCATTCAAAGAATGTCTCCACCAACTGCGTCCAGTTATACATTGCAACAGATTGTCACCAAAGTTTCAGCAGTGGACCAGGACTCGAATGTCACTCGACAAACGGGCTCTGGTGAATCTGCTGAGAAATCGTCACCAGCTTCACCGTCAACCAGCGAGAGTCAATACAGGTCAACTATTATTTTCTGAGTCTCTGTTTATTTTCAGTTGATGCAATGTTCCTTGAGAAAATTTTAATATTTGCGATTTTTCTTCTCGGATCGTAGAAGCGTTTTATTTCATGTCTCTTGATTAAAAAAAAAATGTTTATCGCTGAAGTAAGACTGAGTCACGGAGTCGAGATTGCCTTCGAACCATCCTCGAACTCTTATAATTTCATCTCAATTGATGATTAAATCACCTATTTATAACAAAGCACAGCTGAATCCAGTTTTAATTTCTGAAGTAATTTCCAATTATACTTCGACATCTGAACGAGGGTTGGTTCATAAGTCCTGAGACTATTCGAAAAAAAATCCAACAAAATTCCAACTTTTAAAAATCGCATAGCTCCATTATTTTAGTTGATGCAATGTTCCTTGAGAAAATTTTAAAATTTGCTATTTTTCTTCTCAGATCGTAGATGCATTTTATTTCATGTCCCTTGAATAAAAAAATACATGTTTACCTCTGAAGTAAGACTTAATCACGGAGTCGAGATTGCCTTCGAACCATCCTCGAACTCTTATAATTTCATTTTAATTGATGAATAAATTACCTGTTAATTTCTGAAGTAAATTGCAATTATACTTCGACATCTGAACTTTAAAATCATCCTACAGAGTTTCAACAAAATTGCAATTTTTCAACTCGCATACATCCATTATTTGGCAACACTCAAGTGTTGATTAACGCACTCTCCGTCCATTCCAATGCATTTTTTTTTAGGCAAAAACCCAATGTTAAAACAATACCGCATTTTCAAATTCCTAGAACTGTTCTGAGCTTTAGGTTTGTGTTGCCAAATAATGGGGCTATGCGAGTTTTTTTTTATTTGAAATTGTTNCACTCTCCGTCCATTCCAATGCATTTTTTTTTAGGCAAAAACCCAATGTTAAAACAATACCGCATTTTCAAATTCCTGGAACTGTTCTGAGCTTTAGGTTTGTGTTGCCAAATAATGGGGCTATGCGAGTTTTTTTTTATTTGAAATTGTTGGAACTGTGTCAGATCTACAAAAGTTTCAAGACTTATGAACCAACCCTCGCAACTAGCTTTCCTTTTAATTTGAAGCACTTGATTCCGAAGGCAAATTTCTGGCATTCGTTGATCGAATAAGCCTTCAGGAGGGTTTTTTAATCATTGAATACGAAATTACGATTCGTTACATCGACGCTGGTTAGCACCACATCAAATGTTCATCAAGTTTTTTTTTCAAGACATTTCAATTTTTTGATGCATATTGAATTTCGTTCCACAGCCTTTCTTTGGGCTTGAAAGATAAACCGGAACACAGAGACGAATTGGAATCCGAGAGCGTTCTTACAGAGAAAATGGTTCAAAAAATGATCAAATCGGCATCTCAAGAGCAGACGGATGCTCATGAATCGCTGAAATCTTCAAAACGCGATGCATTCAAGCATTCTGAGGACAAGAAACGAAGTTCGAAAAACTACAGGTAAAATTCAATTTCAGTTCAACGCATTTTTCTCGAAGCAGAGCTCCATTCGATTAATCAAGATTTGAAAATTGACACGATGACAAAAATGTCCGGCACTGATGAATTGAAATAGGTTTTAAGATTTCTTGCTGGTATTTTACATTTTTAAGCTAAAATGTTTTCATTTTACGCTGTTGATACATGCAGTTAATTTTAAACTTAATCGCCTCCTTTTGTGATTGTAAGTCACAAAACTTTGGACAAAACAACGTTATTAAAAATCCATCACCAATATGAAACAAAAACAAGATGCTTCAGAAGCGTGGGTGCTTAATAAGATACTGTAAATAACGTTTTTCTATGCATAACAGCAGTAGGTTTTCCAGAAGAAAAAGGGCTTGAAAAGGAAAAAAAAATTTCTTTATCTTATTTTTAAATCAATTAAATCAATTAATTTTCCAGTTCATATTCAAAATTCCAGTGACACAAAATTTCAATTTCACAGCAATATGTCTCACAACATTCAACGGATTCTACGCGAAGCTCAACGAGAGGCCGTGAAACCCCTGAGACCCAAAGAACCTCGACGAGAGAAACCCGTTTCAAAACGGGTCTCCAGAACACCTTCCGCCATAGCGAACCGACGAAGAAATTCTTCAAATAAGCCCGAAGAAAAACTCAGTAGAAAGTCTGCCAAGGAAATTCCGCGTCGCGAATTCAAGGGCAAAAGTCATTCGAGGACCCGACTAAGGAATTCTAAGCAAGTCACCAGGAAAAGTTCTAGACACAGTGTCAGGAAATCAGTGTCTAGAAGCCGAGCGAGTTCAAGCATTGATCCTAGAATATATTCTTCAGTTGACAAATTTTACAAAGGGTGAGTCAACACAAATCAACGAATTAATGAGAAGAACTTGGAAAATGTCTGCTAATTGACAAAAATAATGTCTTCAATTTCGACTTGATTCTATGTAAAAAAAAAAAAATCTCGAGCCCTGCTTTCAGGACTTGAAATTCTTGGAATTCATGATAAAAGATCGACACCTGAAAAGCTCTGGATTTTAAATTAGTTTTCCCTGATTTTTTTGACATGTATTACACGGGCATTTTGGTGACACGAACGTGGTTTCACGAGGGAAAATAAATGTAAATGCTCATGAAAATAAGTATCGAAAATTTCTGAACGATTTGTCGTTGATTGTAATTGTATGTGAATGGTGTGGACTTGAATTCAATTATGTCAATTCAATACTGTAACTTATAATTCGGTTTTTTTATCAATTACATTTTCTTTCGACGAAGAATTTATTAAATTATAATCTTACCCCTCTTCTGAAAGTTCACAGCAGTTAGTCCCCAAATAATTAAAAACCCACGAAACAAAAAATGAAGATAATGAAGGTAAAGACTCAAATTCCGAAATTATTTCACATAACTACACTTCCTGGCTGAAAAAAGTGCAAACTTCAAATCTTCGGAATTTTTTCCTCAAGAAAAAGGAGGAAAGAAAAACATTTCTACATGTTCTGAACAAATTCAGAAAGTTGTGAGAAAGAGCTTTCAAAATTACAACACTTCAATTTCATCCTAAGCACAAAAATCCACAATTTTCTGCTGAAAAATACACTACTTCATGATTTTTTTTTTGGTCTTTTGGTGAGTTGTTCGAACTAATTAAATGAATTACAAAGCAATCTTCAAGGAAAACGCGTTTCACACGACAGAAATTCAGCAGGACGTCAAAACTCATCCAGAAATGGATAATTTTCGTTACGCGCGAACCCAATTCATATTTTCCTTTTCTAATTTTTTGCAAATGTATATGTATTCGTATTTTACACACAGTTTAGTGGCAGCGAAAGCAGCATTAGGCCCTGCCTACTCGAACCTCATCAAGGCTTCGATTCACGTCGGAGAAAATACGGGAAGTCGGACGAGGACCCGCAGCAGCAGCATTCGTCACCGACGAGGCTCGTCGTCGTCGACTGACGACTCAAAACAACCCAGGGAAGTTTGACTATAGTGATGACTAGGGAAACAGCTGTAACGGGACAGTGGTGGAGCTAGGGGCTCTAAGTCTTCTCTAAGGTAGTGACCCGCTAAGCCTTTTAGTCACTTTGGGTCCTTTGTACTATGTTACGACGATCGCATTCAGGTTGATTACGGAAGGAAACGTCGAATGGAGGAGATTGAAGATCGTCAAGAAAAAATCCGAGCTCGGTAAAAATAATCAAGCTTGAAATTTACAGCATTTATTAAGTAAAACTCGAACTTCAAGGGACCAGTTAAAAAAGTATACTGTACTTAAAAATGTTTCGAGTTCAAGAAGCAAGCGTTGCTGTTCTGAAAAATGAGAATTGCAGGAAAATGTAATCGGTGACATTCTGGGTCTTGGGATTGCTTCTTGAATGAATTGCTGAAGTTGAAGGAAAAGGTTTATTTGCCCAACTCATTTTTTATTGTTTTTCCCTTTCTTGCGTCAATAAAATAATAGCTAAACGGATTCAGAAATTTTGAGTGATGCAGGTTTGAGGGGGAACTACAGTATTTTGAATTGCAAGAGGTTTTAAATGCATTCTTTCAGGAGGAATTCAGAGAGGGATTAAAAAAAACACACATTTTTCACACAGGGAGGTAATTGACCCAATTAGGCTTGAGTTAAAAAAATATTTAACAAGGTGTTGAATGTGGACCCACAGAAAATCTCGTCATTTTGAAGTCCCGTTTTGATCTGATAACTTTGCGACACTTATTTGATTTCCTAGTCTTCTGCAGTGCAGGTTATGTTTAAGAGTAAACTTCTATTTACGCTTGTTGTAAGTAAAGTAGCAACAAAATATGAAATTCCCATCAAATCGCGGACATTCCGAGAAACCCCTCCAAAAACCTTTTCAGAAGCAAACCCAGGAAGGAATTCGTAGAACAGAAATAAGATTTACACCAGGATCTGAACAGTCCTTCGTATTCCCTTTTTTTTTAAAAAAAAGGTCCCCCTCTGTTCGTTCACTGAAACCGACTCGATCCGGAAAATTCAGCAAAACGGATATTTTAATCGAGGGCAAGACGAAAGACAAGCCATTTCCGGATTTCGGCAAGAAGTCTCCATTAAAACAAGGCACTTACAACCACATCGCTCAAAAGGTCACCCCTAAATCGGCAAATCCCACGGAACGTTCCAAGATGATTCCGAAATCGTCCCGAATTGAACAACCTCGTCAAAAGACGGTAGCAAATTCCGTGAAGGAAAGGTGAGCATAAAATAAATTGAAAATAGTATAGGAAAATTGTGTCCGGAAAAAAAACACTGCCTAGACGACGATCATCTATTGCAAAATCACAGTTTGTACTCTCTTTAAGATACAAATTGAAACTCGCACGATTTCTCTTTGCATAAAATAAAATCAGTTGATTTGCGCATATATTTTAAATATTATGCTGTAGGTAGAAATATAGCGCTATCAAAAATGTATCCTCAATTTAAGGAGCCATGCCGAATGAAATGGAAGTGTTCATAATTGTTTTTTCAGTTCAACCTCGGTAAATCGAACCTCCCGAAGTCAAATATTATTCAGGGTATATTTCCATGTCCCTGCCTAAATTTCTTGCGAAACCATGCATAAAATAACCTTTTGTCTTTGACTTCATTGACGCATGAAAAATAAAAGCAAAAAATAGACATATCAATAACTTGATACATTTCGAGAGGAAGTTGAAGATTGATTGGGAAAAACCCCATGCCTTCAACATCAGAGTCCTGCCTAATCATCTCAGAACCCATTTAAGACCTGAAATATCCCCGAATAAAATTTTCCGGATTGTTTTTTTTTTCGAAAAAAAAAAACTATGGTTTCATTAAACTCGAAACCTCCCAAACTCGAATTGTTCCTCCTCGACCGTAATTCATATCCAGCCACAAATCATTACATATTTGCCTAAATATATCAACAACAAAATAAAGAAAAGCAAAAAGATACATCAATAACTCAATACATTTTGAAAGGAAGTTAAAGATAAATTCGGAAAATCCCTTGCCATCAACATCAGAGTCATGCCAAATCATCTTAGAAGCAATTTAAGCCCCGAAATATCCCCGATTACAATTTTCAGAATTCTTTTTTTCTTAACAAAAACGATGGTTTCATCACCTCGAAACCTCCCAAACTCAAATTTTTTCTCCTCGACCGTAATTAATGTCAGCCATAAATCATTAAATATTTGCCTAAAAGAAAAGCAAAAAGATATATCAATAACTCGATACATTTTGAAAGGAAGTTGAAGATTTATTGGGAAAAAACCCTTGCCTTCAACATCGGAGTCATGCCAAATCATCCTAGAAGCAATTCAAGCCCTAAAATATTAAAATTTTCAGAATTTTTTTTTACCCCAAAACAAAAAAGATGGTTTCATCAACTCGAAATCTCCCAAACTCGAATTTTTTCTCCTCGACCGTAATTCATATCCAGCCATAAATCATTAAATATTATCTTTAATATATAAAAAAAACCTTCCAAAATCAGCAGTAAAACAAGAATGGAACCCCCGGCATCCTCCGGAATGAGCATGATGGACCAAATCCGCCGCTACGTTCAATTCCCCAATCCGACCTCGATTTTCTCTTGGGGTCAAACAACATCGACACCCCGGACGAACCCCAGGAATTCCTCCTCGTCATCTCCGTCACTGTCGGTCACCGAGGTCCTCACTAGTCCAAAGTCGCCGGAATTCCGCAATGTTCGAGCTGGAGAAAATCGACAGTGCGACGCATTGCCGTGTTACGCGTCCACCGACGGTTTCAGCGTCGACACACGGCGACACGCGGATGACGATGGCCTTTTTGACGGTAAACGTGGCGTGTCGAGTTTGACAACGACTTCGTGTACGACCATTGACGCACTTTCTGAAGCTGGGGAGAATCGCAGTGAATCCGGGAAAGACGATTTGAGAGGCAATAACGACAGATTGAAAAATGAATAGTGAGGACTGCATCCGAATTTCGTGTGATATATTTTTTTTTTCTCGTCCCGAAATCGGTCATTCATTTAAGTTCCTCATCAGCAATTTCTTCTTTGTTCCTCTCCACAACGAAATTCGAGGGAACCAAACAAAAATTCGTTATGCAGGGAAATAAATTTCTAGTCAATTTCTCTGGGTAGATTCTTGAGGTCGGTAAGAGTCTGCCATTTCAAATTTCCCAGAGAAAACAGCATCAGAAAAAAAGTTGCCCTTTTGGACGAGAAATTTAAACTTCAACTTCGAGATTAGATTTTGATGCGCTAAAATGGCGCAACGTCCTGCAAATACGTCTGGGTTTGAGTCTTTTTATTTCATTCTAAAAATCATTAGAATTCCAAGAAAAGCTCTTGATTTTACGCGTCGGCTCACACGTCATAACATGAGAATTTTTTGAAGGCTTGATGTTTTTCCCTTAGTCCAGAGAAGAGACGGAGACGTCATAAGAAATCCTCGTCATCATCCCAAGAGGTTTCCGTAGAAGATAAACCCGTACCCCAACACCCACCGACATTTGACTACCAGGCAGCAGCTCGTAGAATCATTGAAGCGATTCGCGAGGACGAACTCAAAAGAAAAGGAGCCTTGCTTTCCAAGTACAGTAAAGTAATAAGAAAAATAACACACATAAATGATAACACACTTGAACACATTTGAGTGCTTTCTGCAAACTGAATGAAAACTATCTTAAAATGTTTCGGATGCTTCGAAAATTTTGAAAAAAAAAACGAGGGCTCTAGAATTTCCATTTTTATTCAGATGGTTGGCTTCATTTTTCTGAAAATTTCGGATACCTACAGTTTGATACGAATTAATTACATTACAGTAGTTATAAAACGAACAAAAAATCCGTCGAAGAAATGGACTATAAAGTACATTCAATCCCTGCACAACAGACTTCCCGCATAACGAATTTTTTTGCGCAAAAGACTGCCTCTGGAGGTAGTTTTCTCTCCTACGCAACAAACTAAATCCGCATAACAGACTTCTGTTTGTTTAAAATTTATGGTAAAAATTAACTTTCAATTTTTAATAATTTAATTCGCCTAACATATTTTTCACACAACAGACTAGTCTGTCGCACAAATTAAGTCCGTTGTGCAGGGGTTGACTGTAGTATACTTTTCCGACATCAACAAAGGCAGCTTTTATCCGCCTTTCTGGAAAGTAAAATTATATTTTCGAAATAGATGGCTTTTTTTATTGAGATACCAAAATAAGTTCATATAAAAAAACTTCGATTTTCAACACCGATAGTTTCTGCCAGTAATTTGAAGAGAAGATTTTCGAAAACAATCTATGGAGTTATCCTGCACAAATTAAGTTTTCTCAATATTGATGAAATAATAATTCTTTATAGCATCCATTCCGCAAAAGTATTTCTCCCCGCAGCACTTCAAAAGTTGGTTTCAGTTGAAAAAAAAAAAACTTCATGAAACGATAAATTTCGATTCTCAGACTGAACCCAAATGACGCGGGAACCGTGTTGACTTCCACTGATGCCTTCAATCAAACTACTCAAATGCCACAGGACGAACCAGACTTTTTAGTGGTCGGCAAAGACACTGATGCCGTTACACCATCACTCGACAAGTTCATCGCCTCGAAACCACGAAAACTCACACGACGACGAAGGAAGAAACGCAGCGTTTCAGCCAATAATTCAAGTAAAATTCCTTGACGCGTTTTATTTGCATTTCCCTCAAAAAGAAGATTTATTCAAATTTTCATCAAATTTTATTTTTTCTACTATCCATTCCGTAGGAAACTTTTTTCCCCTACAGCGTTTCAAAACCTGGTTTCAGCAATGAAAACGTAGTGTTGAAATAGAAAAAAATGTAAATAATTTTTTTTTTACTCGCTGACTGAGCACAAATAACGCATCATAAAAAGTTGAATCTCGAGTAGAATTCGTGTCAGATTTTTTGCGCAATTTAATGAGCCCTAGTATAGTCTTCGAAAAAAAAACACGGAAAACGAATTACATTTTCAACTCTTCCCTCGTCA